TACAACTGAAAAAGGGAGTGTGTGGGAAAGAATCTGACATTCTCTTATAGGTATTGTGTTAAATTAAATCAAGTAGAAAAGAACTTTCTCTTGGGCCATCTCTCACCTTGTGAGGTAGTCTGATAGTGTGACCTGTTTTAGGAGATTGTGAACTGAAGAAGGACTCCAGTGGTGCTCAGTAGATGCAATGTAGAGCGTAGCTGCAGTCTCAGTGGTGCATCTGAATGGTTGAACCGAAATGGGAAACCATTGTTTTGAAGTGGGTTTGTTAACCACACTGAGTAGCACAACCATGCCAACTTTATGCCGGTACCTCAGGCAGACTTGGGAGACCTGTGGCCATCTAGATGTTGCTGGACTACTCACATCCTTGTCTTTTGGACATGTTGGCTGGTGCTGGATGAGAGTTGGAGTCCAACAATATTGGAATGTGGTTCCTCAGCCTTGATCTCCGAAGGGGCATTTCTCTCTCATGGAGTAATGCCTTTTCCAAATAGAGTTTTTCTTTCGTTTCTTGTATTCACCCGCCCTTTGAGAGGGGAATACCTTTTCTTAGAATGATCAACACTGGGGAGAACCATGTAAGCCACCTTAACATCCGTGGAGAAAAAGAAGGGATATACATGCAAGAAAAGAACAAATGAATAAGTAAGCAAGCTCCCTGCCAGAAGAAAAGTAGCAGAGCAAGATAGAAGGATTCTAGCTAGCGCTTTTTCTATTTGTGGGGCAATGCCTTTTCTAAATGTTAATCAGCATGGATAAATATTTGAAAATGATATTTCTCCCCACCTACCATCTGTGGTGGTGCAGTCCATTCTGTCAATATTAGGACTGTACCACCTCCTGGATCAGCTGTGCTGAAAACGATTAAAAAATTCCTTTTTAATTTTGTGATGTAATATTCAAATTCAATAAAAATATGTATATCCAAAAAAAGGGGGATGTAGGTGGTGCTGGCCTCTCTTTGTCTGCTGAAAATCTGGCTAAATGCTCTTGGAGGTGGAAGATGATGAGGTTTTGCTGTTGAGATAATTTCAGGGAATAGATTAAAGTGGAGAGCAGGATCTGAAACCAGGTCACCCTCACTTCGCCTTCACCAGCAGAAGGCAGCCCTTGCAAATGTATCATCAGCTGTTCCTTTTGTGTGCCTGAGGTGTGTCAGAGGGATTGGTTTCACAGAAAGCACCTGATCTCTGACCTGATCAGCCCAGATTCCCCTGGGTGCCCCAAACGCAAGGGCTCCCTGTGGCTTATCTTGGATTGCTCTTTTAGAGCAGAGTTTTGGGGGCCGGGGTTGAATGGTCTCTCTCTCCTCATCTTACAGTGTCTATGAGAAAAGGGATATGGATTCACTCTTTGCTTTAGCCCTTTGTCGTATCTTAAGGTGTCTTTTGAGAAAGAGACCTCCCACACACAGGGTTGGGGGGGGGGAACTTTCCCCATGGGCCATCTTGGCAGGTGGGCAGAGCACCCTGCATTGTCTCCCCGGTCTTCCCACTGATGAAATCTAGATAGCTTGTTCCTTGGGGCAGAGACCTTTCCTTTTCTTTTGCCTTTTGATGTGTAGTAGGCAACGATTGACACCAGCTTGAATGGTCTTAAAAGAGGATTCAATTCCCAGCGTCTCCACGTAAGGCTGGGAATGTCCCCTGCCTGAAACCTTGGAAGGCTGCTCCCATTGGCCCATCTAGTCTAGCATCCTGTTCTCAAAGTGGTTAAACCAGATGCCTGTGCAAAGCCTGAAGGCTGGACTTGAGTGCAATAGGAATGCTCCCCACTTGTAATTCCCAGCAACTGATATTCAGAAGCGTTGCTCCCCCCAACCATGGAGGCAGAGCACAGCCATCATGGCTTGAAGCCATTGATAGCCCTCTCCTCCGTGTATTTGTCCAGTCCTCTTTAAAGTCATCCAAGGTGGTGGCCATCACTGCCTCAAGTGGCAGCGAGTTCCATAGTGTACATTTGCACTGCATGAATATGTCCTTTCTTTCATCCACTCTGAAACTTCCAACATTCAGCTTCATTGAATGCCCGTGAGTTCTTGTATTATGAGAGAGAAAAAACTTTTCGCTACCCACTTTCTTCACACCAGGCATAACTTTATAAACTTCTGTCTTGTCACCGAATCATGATATGAATGATCCCGTACAATACAGTGGTACCTCTGGTTGCGAATGCGATCCGCTCCGGAGGCCAGTTCATAACATGAGCAGAACGCAACCCGTGTCTGTGGGTCACGATTCACCACTTTTGCGCATGCACGTGACGTCATTTTGCGCATGCGCAAGCGGCGAAACCCGGAAGTAACCCTTTCCTGTACTTCCGGGTCGCTGCGGGACGCAACCTGAAAACGCTCAACCCGAAGCAAACGTAATATGAGGTATGACTGTATAGGGGAATAGTGAAATCATCCCTGGGATTCCAAACCTCCTGTAATCATGTAGGGAGGATCAGGCGCCTTCTCGTGCCAGTCAGAGGAGAGGTGTGCCAGCCAGTCTTTCCCCCCCTGCAAGTGGGCTTATATGGAGAAGAGCTACCTATTTAAAAAACAAACAAACCCTCAACCTTCTAATGGCATGCTTTGATCAAGCCAGCCTACCCAAAAGCCTCATGCGTGCATAGGAAAGGTAATCCAGAATCCCACAGTGACAGCTGCCGCATCCATCAAGGTCCCTTTTCCTGTAAATATTATTATAACTCCTGCTGCTGTGTTACCTAAGTCAGAAATAACAGCTGGGGGAACAGGGTGCTGGTTAGTAAATATTTTGGCCATTTGTTCCTGTTGCTCCCACCACAGACTCAAGGGAGTAAGATGGATTTCCACTGTGTTTTGCCTCCCTTTGGATGTGGGAAACCACAGGAGGGAACTGTGCTCTGATCCTGCGTATGAGTTTCATAGAATCATAGTTGGAAGAGACCACAAGGGCCATCGAGTCCAACCCCCCGCCAAGCAGGAAACACCATCAGAGCACTCCTGACATATGGTTGTCAAGCCTCTGCTTAAAGACCTCCAAAGAAGGAGACTCCACCACACTCCTTGGCAGCAAATCCCCCTGTCGAACAGCTCTTACTGTCAGGAAGTTCTTCCTAATGTTTAGGTGGAATCTTCTTTCTTGTAGTTTGGATCCATTGCTCCGTGTCCGCTTCTCTGGAGCAGCAGAAAACAACCTTTCTCCCTCCTCTATGTGACATCCTTTTATATATTTGAACATGGCTATCATATCACCCCTTAACCTCCTCTTCTCCAGGCTAAACATGCCCAGCTCCCTTAGCCGTTCCTCATAAGGCATCATTTCCAGGCCTTTGACCATTTTGGTTGCCCTCCTCTGGACACGTTCCAGTTTGTCAGTGTCCTTCTTGAACTGTGGTGCCCAGAACTGGACACAGTACTCCAGGTGAGGTCTGATCAGAGCAGAATACAGTGGCACTATTACTTCCCTTGATCTAGATGCTATACTCCTATTGATGCAGCCCAGAATTGCATTGGCTTTTTTAGCTGCCGCGTCACACTGTTGGCTCATGTCAAGTTTGTGGTCAACCAAGTCTCCTAGATCCTTTTCACATGTACTGCTCTCAAGCCAGGTGTCCCCGATCTTGTATTTGTGCCTCTCATTTTTTTTTGCCCAAGTGCAATACTTTACATTTCTCCCTGTTAAAGTTCATCTTGTTTGTTTTGGCCCAGTTCTCTAATATCTGTCAAGGTCGTTTTGAAGTGTGATCCTGTCCTCTGGGGTGTTAGCCACCCCTCCCAGTTTGGTGTCATCTGCAAATTTGATCAGGATGCCCTTGAGTCCATCATCCAAGTCGTTGATAAAGATGTTGAATAAGACCGGGCCCAAGACAGAACCCTGTGGCACCCCACTAGTCACTCTTCTCCAGGATGAAGAGGAACCATTGATGAGCACCCTTTGGGTTCGGTCAGTCAGCCAGTTACAAATCCACTGAGTGGTAGCATAGTCAAGACCGCATTTTACCAGCTTCTTTACAAGAATATCATGGGGCACCTTGTCGAATGCCTTGCTGAAATCAAGATAGGCTATATCCACTGCGTTCCCGTCATCTACCCGTTGGGCTATCTGGTTAGCCCCTGTGAGATCTGGATGCTGGACTAGATGGGCCATTGTCTGCAGCACAGTGGAATGAAGGGGGTGCAAAATGAGACCTGGATCAAAAATGATTGCTGGATCAGGCCAGCTTGTCCAGTTGGAACATGGGAGGCAGTGATGGCCGCCAACCTAGCTAGATGGCTTTAAAAGATCAGACAAATTTATGGAAGAGAGGGATTTCCATGGCTATTAGCCACAATGACTGAACTCTTCCTCCATGGTTGGAGGCAGCAATGTTTCTGAACACCACTTGCTGGAAGCCACAGGAGGGGAGAGGGCTCCTGTGCTTAGGTCCTGTTTACAAGAGAAGAAGAAGAAGAAGAGTTTGGATTTGATATCCCGCCTTTCACTCCCTTTAAGGAGTCTCAAAGCGGCTAACATTCTCCTTTCCCTTCCTCCCCCACAACAAACACTCTGTGAGGTGAGTGGGGCTGAGAGACTTCAAGGAAGCGTGACTGGCCCAAGGTCACCCAGCAGCTGCAAGTGGAGGAGCGGAGACGCGAACCCGGTTCCCCAGATTAGCAGACTACCGCTCTTAACCACTACACCACACTGGCTCTCAAGAGCGGTAGACTTGTAATCTGGTGAACTGGGCTCGCGTCCCCGCTGTTCCACATGCAGCTGCTGGGTGACCTTGGGCTGGTCACACTTCTTTGAAGTCTCTCAGCCTCGCTTACCTCACAGAGTGTTTGTTGTGGGGGAGGAAGGGAAAGGAGATTGTTAGCCGCTTTGAGACTCCCTAGGGTAGTGATAAAGTGGGATATCAAATCCAAACTCTTCTTCTTCTTCACTGGGGCATCTTGTTGGCCACTGTGAGAACAGGAGGCCGGTGTGATACACCCACCCACCCACCCACCCACTTTTACACAAATAGTTGAGTATAAATCTTTTTACTTGTCAGGTTGGTAACATTTGAACAACAAGTATTATTTCCAAACTCCTCCAGACAGCGTTTGCATGAAGTCCCCACACCTCTCACCTTCACAGTCAATATAGAACTAACAGAAATAACCAACCAACTGCCAACTGGCTATTCTCAACTGCCAATTCTCAACTGCCAATTGCCAACTACCAATTCTCAACTGCCAAGTGCCTACTGCCACATCCTTTCCCCAATACCATCTGTTCTTTGTGAAATACATTCCCAATGAAATTACATTACAAATACTAACATCAAGTAGGTGCAGGCCCATTGTCATGATCCCGCTTCAGGGGTCTTCTTATCTTCTTCTCCCCTACATTGGGGGTAAGGCTAGGGGAGGGACTTGATTAAGACCAAGCTAGTCAACTCATGGCAGAGGCAAGAAATGAACCCATGGCTGAGTTTAGCTCAGTCTTTTGAGCTGTTATGCTGCCTTCACTCTCAGGGTTTCTTAACTGATCCAGCAGGCCCTTCTCTTCTAATGCATTTATGTTAGGCAAGGGAGACATTTTCATTCCCCAGTATGTCCTGGACGTTGTGTTATTCCATGCCATGGAGTGTGGGGGAGGAGAAAAGTGCCCCTTCTGGTGGCCGCCATTCCCCGCCCCCCAGGAATACCCTCAAGCCACACATTAGCCAAGGGCATTCTGGGAAAGAGAAATGGCCGCCATGTGCCGCTAGCAAAATAAACTCTGGAAAGGTATAACCTGAGATTTCCTGGGAGCTGGATCCCATGGGTAGCAGCACCCGGTGCCAGTGTTACTCAGAGCAGACCAGCCAAAGGTAATGGCTCATTAATTTTAGTGGGTATACTCTTGAGAAGAACAAGTTGGATATAACCCCGTGTCCCTTGCTTTCTGCCTTGCTCAAGACTGTATCATCAGAGCCACCTTGAACAGAATCTGTAGCGCCTTGTCAATACTGTGAGGCACCTTGGTGATATGCTTCAAGCTGTTTTTCCCTCCCCTTTCTTCCTTGTGCAGGTACAAAGGCTTTATCAAGGACTGCCCCAGTGGGCAGCTGGATGCTGCTGGGTTCCAAAAGATCTACAAGCAGTTCTTCCCCTTTGGGGACCCAACCAAGTTTGCCACATTCGTCTTCAACGTCTTTGACGAGAACAAAGTAAGTCCACTGCGTTCCTCTGTGATTCGCTCCCCCCTCACTTCCTTATTCTTCCTTATCCTCCCCTCTGAAGCATTAATGGAGCTTGCCAGTTAGAAGGCATGTACACCCACACCCACACAGTTGCCAGGTATCACCTGAAGTCTCCAGACTGGCCTGGCTGCCTCCAGGTGGCAGGCAGAGGGCTTGAATCTCCAGGTGGGTGAGAGGGCCTTTAATTATAATAAACAAAATTATTAAGAGGATTGTGCATGCAGCTTGCATGCTACAGCCTGGCAGGAGCTGGCTGCAAATTACAGTGTAGGGTCTGTCCTCCTCTGCTTCCCTGTCCCAAGTAACCTCCGTGTCTAGGGCCCACCCTCATGACATCACTGCCCCCTGTGACAACACCTTGGTTTCAGATTTTGGCCCTGAAATCTCAGGATCTGGGATGCTCCTGACCTGACAAAGCCTGGGCCAATGTCCCACCTCCAAACCATAACAATTTCCAGCACAGCTGGTCTAAGAAGGGAGGAAAATCCATCCCTTTGCTCCATAGTGGCTGAAAATTGTTGCCTGCTCAAGTCTCTAGAGGTGAATTTATTTATTTACCCATTTATTGGTCTGTTGTTATTAGGGAGGAAATGAGATTAAGTAAAACTCCCTCTTTAAAGCAAAACCGGATCTCCCCTTGTTGAACTTCCACCCGCAGGTAAAGTCTATTTTCTTCCAACAGACCTCTGGGAACTGACTGTTTAAAGAAAGGGCTTTCAGAAAGTGCTGTGCTTTTTTATTATCTGTATTTTACTAGATTTGTTTTTATATGTTTTTAATCCTATTAATTTAATTTAATTCTATTAATTACTTTTTCGCTATTATCTTTTAAATGTTTTTAGCCTTGTGTATTTTATCTTAGTTTGACTTAATTTCTGTAAGCTGCCTTGAGTCCTGGTCTGGGAAAAAGGCAGAATATAAATAATATTAATAGTTAATAATAATATCATCTACCAATACCAGCTCCAAGGTGCAAAAGACATGCCATTAAAATGAAAGAACAAGGGTGCCTCTGAGCATATTCCGAGTCTAGAGATTTGTTTGCAGTTACACAACTGAGCTAAGCTCACAGTCCTGTCATAAGCAGAAAACCATGTGTGATCAGCTTTCTTTCATTTCAGTAGCCTTATTTAGGCAGGATAAATAGTTTTATTCCTAGTTTGAACCCTCACTAGGGACTGGTAGATCTGTCAGTTTTGATTTTCCTCTGTGTCTCATTTCCCTACCGCCACAAATCATAATTATCTGAGCTTATTTTAATTTGTGTAACCCAACTTGAGTAGCAGTCTTCAAAAAAGGCAGGATAATAATAATAATAATAACAACAACAATAATTGCAACACTCAAAGCAGGAGGGATGGAAGCAAGACATGTCATGCAACTGTGGGAAGCCTCTGCTGGGACAACTGCCCCATCCAGTAAAAGTAGCAGGAATTACACAATCCATCGGGTTAAACATTGCCAACTGGTAAACTCACCACCACCATCTCGAAATCAGCAGAGCTGCAGTAAAGCTAAATGCTAATCAGGCACCTGCTCTTTTCTAAGTTGTTCCCCACAACCGCTTTCCTCCTCTGGCATTTTAATGCATCCCTTTTCCTTTCCAAAAGGGATCTGAGAGAATTAGGTTTATCCCACTGAGGAACATCCCTCCCACCTTGAGCAAAGGCCATGACACTTGTAAGCATCTTTGCAGAACTGTGGATTAATTTACTTTTTAGGTGGGAAGGGAACTGGAGGAGCCCAGCACCTGGCTATGCTCACCACCATCACTGTGAATCAGTTTATATGTATGCCACTTTTCCATTTTTCATACTCGGTGACTCATAGCAACATACAGAATAAAATACAACAACATTTAAAGATAAGAACCTAAGAATGAGCTTAAGAACCTAAGAAGAGCCTTCTCAATCAGGCCAATGGCCCACCTAGTCCAGCATCTTGTTCTCACAGTAGCCAACTAGATGCCCCAATGAGAAACCCAAAAATCAGGACCTGAGCACAAGGGCACTCTCCCCTACTGCCCTTTCCAGCAACTGATATTTATAAGTGTTTACTGTTTGAATGGATTGTTTTGACGAGGGTGATCTGATGAAGGGTGGGCTAGAAATATACTGAATAATTTAACTTAAGGAAAGTACCTGTGAAGGTCCCATCTTAGAAAAGGTATTCCTCTGTTAGGCTGCATTCACACTATACATTTATAACACCCACCCCCAAGAACCTTTCAAACCGTAGTTTGTTAAGAGTGCTGAGAATTGTGGGCTTCCAGGGAGATGAATGGTGGTTCGGCTGTCTCTCTGTTAGCTCGCGATTGATGATAGTCAGATAGATAGTCCGACTATTAAATCACTCTGGTGATAAGGGTGATCAAAGAGTACCTTGAATGCTTTGATCAAGGCTGTTTTCTGCTGTCTGCACCTGGCGGCTTGGATGGGAGCTAGAAAGAGCTGGCAAGCTAAGGAGTGACATTTTGCCGAAACACCATGTAAACACCCTCCATGGGTAGAAATATTCACACCCTCTCTTTTTTAAACATTTTTTAAACCACAAATTAGAGAGAGATTTATCTGTCCGCTGGTGAAAATCTACAGTCCAGAAACTTGGAATAACAAATTTCTGTCATTAAGAAGAACAGAAGGAAAATTGGTAGTTAAAGTAATAATAATAATAACAACAATATTATTATTTATATCTTGGCCATCTGGCTAAGACAGAGTGAAAAGCCTGAGTTATGGTTGACAATAAATCTTAATTGGACAAGGGAATTCTTGGTGTGAAGTGTCTTCCCCCTTTTTCTGCTTTTTGTCATTAAGGAAACTGAAAGTTAATTGGCCAGTACTCCAGCATTCCTCTGAGATAAGAGCTATTGAAGCTATGACCTTTAGGAAATATTAAGGTAGACTGAGCTGTTAATAACACCCAACACATCAAAAGCAACCAGTATGGCAAAGGTACCTTTGGATCTCCCAGTGACTGTTGGTATTGGAGAATGATGGAGAAATGCATAGAAAAGAGTGGGATGAATGAATGACTAACGGGAAGATGTGTCAACACCTTTCAAACAAATCAGGAAGAATGCTCCCTGTTGTATAACCTTGCAAACAAATTGGAATGACTGCTCATTAAAGGCCATATATAATCTAAAAAGACGAAGAAGTGTTTACTGCCTCTGATCAGGGAGGCAGATCACAGCCATGGCGGCTAGTAGCCATCTAAAGCCTCCTCCTCCAGGGGCCCATCTATTCCACCATCTTGTTCTCAGAGTCGCCAGCCAGATGCCTCAGTGGGAAGCCAAAATTAGGATCTGAGCACAAGGGCGCTCTCCCCTCCTGCATTTTCCAGCAATTGGCATTCAGAAGCATTAGTGCCCCAGCTGTGGCGGTGGAGCATACAAAACAGATCACAATTTAAACAAAATGTCTGTAAGACAAGCAAGCATCTCACACTAAAAGCAACTGAAATGATGCCTGACAATAAAATATAAAACATCCACTAGGCATGGAGAGGGGCGAGGCAGGTGGGAAAGTTGGCCTTGATAGTTCCAACAGAATCTCCTTTGTAGCAATGCTCAGCTATGCTGTATTTCCAGGTGCTTGAGGAATTTTGATTTCTGTGTCTCCCAAAGTGAATTGGGCATGGATTTTGCAGCTCCTGGACTTAGATGTGTGGATTAAAATATCCTCCAGAATATTACACACAGAGCTCTCGGCTCAACAGATTTAAACATGTGAAAATTCTGTGAGTGCAGTTTGGAATAAAATGCATTTACAAATGTGTATGTAGAATTTAAATTCCACAAGAACATCTTGTTTGGGGATAAAACGCTTCCTGAAATACGTATTTAAATAGGAATTTTTGTGCATATTTTTTCAAAACAAGCACAGATTAAATTGGACG